TCTGTATCACCAAATTGCTAATTTTCAGTTTCTCATATGTCTCTATGACAATTTTGTGTAAAAGCCACTCCCGTATTTCCTGTACCATGTGACAGTAGATAACTGGACACACAGTGTGTAGCATGTGTGAACTGTACAGATCATCACAGATTATTAAAGAAAGCAGGGCACTGGGATAATAATTCAAATAATTATTTTGCAACAGATGTTCCTTGAACAGATGTATAACAGGCTGTCATAGCTGCTACAGCTGTGCTGCTTCCTGCTACGTCTACAATCTTCTACAAAGACTACATATTTTTTCATGTGTCAGTTTTATTCTGTGGCCCTCCATCACATGAGGACACAGAGGCTGTGCATTGTGAAACTCCAGGGGTACCATTAATACACGACATGATTTGAATGAATCCTTATGGAGTTGTATGTGTGGTGGTCCTAGGTAAGAACTGGGATTCTATGGAAACAGAAGCCAGAAATAGAGGGAAGTGGGGCCAATCCAAGGGATGCAGCCTCACCAGGCACCAGAGGTAGAGGGTGATGGTAGGAGGGTTGACTAGAAATGAAGACAAGGACTTGCCAAGAAACTCAGCATGAAAAATGCCTGGACCTTGCCTGAGGAAGGGACAATGGGTGCTGGAGAGATGAACACATGTTCTTTACAGGAAGGAGCGAATGGAAACACAGTAGGAGTTTGGTGTCTAGGGAATGGAGTCTGGATATCAGTTGTTTTGTCACCATATATTTGTGTCAGCATAAAATTGTGCACCATAAATGTGTGCTCTCTGGGATATGATGGGAAAATAATGTGTTTCAGTACTTGTAAGGAGCTGTGTTCTATTGAGCTCCCCTGTCACATTGGGTAGCAGTTTCTCTGATATGCTGACATGACAGCTCAGCTACATTAGTATTGTACATTTTGAGTTTTCAGACAGTTTTGGCTTGATGGTTAAGACTCAATCCTATTCATTTTAAGATATTTGTCTTTTACTTGCAACACTTCTCTTTCCCTTTCTCTAACTCAAGCCAGACTTGTGCCTCTGACTTGAAGTAGGGGAAGAGGAAGTAGAAGGCCTCAGTCTCAGTATCCCCCCCCCCTTTCCTAGGGGTATTCTGCTTGAGGAGTAAGAGGGGCCAGTGTTTCCTCGTGAGCCTGCCCTGCTATTGTGTGGTTTCAGCTGTCACTCAGAATTGTAGATGCTCAAAAGTTGTTCTCTACCATGTTCTCAGATGGATCCTATGAGGCTCTCTTCTCTACACAGTCTCTTGACATGAGAGATCTCAAGATTAAGCCCAGTCACATTCTACAATTCTACTCTAAGAAACTCTGCACTCCTTAATGTATCAAACATGCATGAAATCTTTTGTGTATGAAGGTGGTTACGCTAGCAAATCAGCCTTTCCCAGCCTCACTCTCCTGCCCTTTATTCCATTTCAGCAACATCAGGAACTCTGCCCATCCAGTGTTGGTGTGAAGGGATTACCACCTCTTGACTTACGTGGCTTCCTGAGATTTACATTTTCCTCAGGAGCATCCTTTCAGAATACTGCACTTCCCCTAAAGGCCAAGCCCTTTCTCTCTCTCCTAGTCCTCTTCTTGGGTGCGGATGTGGTCAGGGTGGTAGAATTGGTGGGTGTTGATACTATAGTTTTGGCTGACCTAGTACCTCTCACTTGCTGTAGGAAGATGTGGCTTGCAATATTCTAAGCTTAGAATCTGGGGTACGTGCTATCTTTTGTTCTCAGATTTGGGCCTGCATGGTTGATTTGGGGGAAATGGTATCCTGATGGATACTAAATACTATCTTGTTCCAATAGTAAGGGTCACACTGAAGGTAAAAACTTATGCCCCTGAAATATCTGGATATGAATGGAAGGTCAATGGTGTGGATAGATGAGAATTTTATTTCTTTATGGGCTTGATACGTATCATGGGACATACAATTACTGAATGAAACTTCAGACCACCTTGATAGCTTGTAATTATTTATATCTTGTGATTTGTTTCATGTCTGTCTTTCTGTGAGGCTCTAACCTCCATGAGGACGTAGACTAGTTTTTTCATTCACCATTCTATCCACAGAGCCTAGCTACAGAGTGTTGATAAACAGTAAGAGCTTAACATCCTGACTGACTGATGGACAGGTGGCCCTCAGTGCTAAGATCCTCCAGTTTGGGGTGCAACAGTACAAAGCTTCTCAGCATGGGAGCTGCTATGAATTGAACCCTAAGTACACTCAGGAATGAGGCCAAGTACCTAGCATTATCTCATGAGATTTATACAACTTGGAGTGGGTATTAGTGTGGGTGTTAGGTGAGTATTTTTAGAGATGAGAAAACTAAGGTTTAATTTTTGTTGTTATCATACCAATGTCTAATTACAAAGAATTGTTAAATTTTGTTATCAGTTCAGTATATAGAGAATTTAAAACAAAATGGTTCTGCTATTATGCTGTACACCAAAAACTGACACAACGTTGTAGACTGACTGTACTTCAATAAAAAAATAGTTCTATACTATTTACAACAAATTTTATAATTATACTACCAATTAAACCTCTTTTGACCACGTATTACTTTCCCTAATTTCTACTCCTTGTCTATGCCCTGCTTCATGGTCAAGATTCTTGAAAGAATTGTGGATACACAATTTCTCTATTTATTCACTCCCCAGTTTTTTTTACCAAGATTTCTCTTATTAAGGTCACTAATAACTGTGTTGCTATATTCACTGACCACATTTCAACATTAATCAAAAAATGATTGACTAGTCTCATAATTGGATAAGTTGTTTGCCCTGTAAGACAGCCCATGACATAGACCCAAGGACGCAGGTGGCCCTCTCTTGCATGCAAGTGTGTTTCAGTAACATGAGGACGTTGAAGTGATGGTGTAATGAGGAAGTCAGTCCTCCTTCTGTACTTGTCTCATACTAAGAAATGTCAAATCTTTCTTTGAAAATCACTTTAAAAAAATTGCTCTGGTTGAGAGCTCAAAAACCACAGTAAATCTTAATATAAAATCCTTGGGTCAAGTTATAATTTTTGAAAAAGGGACTATTATGAAAACACTGGCATCATTACAACCATAGAAACATGGATTATTCGTATACTCATACTATTATCTATTTTTGTAACTATATTTGGGATTTGCATGTAATGTTGAGACTAGTTATACATTTCATGAAAGTGATACATATGTATTTTGTTAGTGTGAATTTTATGTGACACTGGATCACGGTAACAAAGAATATTTATGAAGAAGTTAATATGTCTGTTTGTCAAAGGAAAAGAAGTCTAGAGATTTGATATGCCTTAATACATTTTACCTTTTTGAATCAGAAAACATGGATGTGACAACAGAAAAAATATCCAAGCCCAAAGAAGAGGGCAGAGCTTCACTTTAAATGGCGTCAATCACATTATAATTATATAATTTTCCTAGATATTTTACAACATACATTTTGGTTAATAGCATTAATTATGCTGCATTTGTGTGTTAGGCTAATTATGTGACTCCCATTTATAAATAAAACTCTTTTCAATAAATTTCTACTTCCCTCTTAAAAAAAACAAAAACGAAAAAAACCCAATTGACTGCTCCTTCTTTCTTGAATCATTCTTTTCTTTCCTTTTCTTTCCTTGCTCTCACACAGTTGAGTTTTCTCATTTGTATTCATAAGCTCTTGTAGTTCTTCCTCTTCTATTTACTATTGAAACTGTGTGTATCATTTGGAAACTGCATCTTAAATTGTTTTCGCTTGGCTTTATCAGCATATAAACAGTGTAAGAGGCTTATAAGATAAGGATTTATTGGATAAGTGAACACAATGCCACATGCCTGCACAGTTCCTCATAGGGGTGGAAGTTCTGTAATCAGTGCAGCCGATGTGGAGAGTGCTTCGCCAGGTCACAGGAGTTCATAGTTTCCTGTTGCTTCCATTTTTATTATCAGGTTAGGGACAGGGTCCACTTACTGCCACGTAAGGAGATTCCTTGCTGTGTAACAGTGTCATCACTACGTGTTTCCATGTTTGAATTGACTTTGCTAAGGTAACTTGGAGAAAACAGAAATACATTTCACAGAAACTGTATGGTTTTAGGTTAGATTTGGTGGAAAGAGACGTTTGCTTGAGATTTGGAAGGCAGAAGCGCGACAGCCCCGGTAACTGAAGGGAGAGGGTGAGAGGAGTCAGTAAGAAGCCGATGCAGATGGTCTGGCAGCCTTGCCCTTCCCAACTCCATGTCCAACTCCTTCTCAAATGCTGGTCTGCTGACTTGTCGTCATCCCAGACCCGCCACAAGACACTTGGCAACGAACTCACAAAGGTGGCAGCTATGCAGAGGCAACAGTCTCCCACGACTTCTGCACCAGCCCTCTCACGGTCACAGGCCAGGCCTTGGCCTTCTTAGCTTCCAACATCCAACACTGAAAACCAACTCCATTGCTCCAGGGAGGCTTGTTAGTAACTTTCTTTCTGATTCTCCGATTCTTTCTTCAGTTCTTTGCTGCCCCAGTTACCCCTGTAATAAACTCTCAATTCTGTAATGTTTATGGTGGTTCTGACTGCCAGACGGAAGCCTGACTAATACCACCATTGGTTGTTTCAGTGATCCAGTGCTACGGACCAAACCATTTGAAAGCTTAGTGGTTTAAAACAAACGCCGTTTTGTCTTCTCCGTAATTCTGTTGGTTTACTGGGCTTAAATAGGGGATGTCTTTGCTGATCATGCTTGGAGGCTAATGACTGCAAAGAGAGTCACCTTGAGATGTGACTGGGAAGCAGGGATAGTTAGGCCTCATTCATTCTCTGGATGGTTTTGGGGACCCCTCCCGTGGTCTGTCTATCACCAGAGCTGAATTTTGTAAATGGCAGCTCAGGGTTCCCAAGAACACAAAAAAATAGCATTGTCCATCATTTCTGCTCCTTCCTGTTAATTAAAGCAAGTCACTGTGGCCATCCCATGCCCTAACGTGGGAGGCAACTACATAAGGCCATGAACAATAGGAGCTGTGGATCTTTAGAAATCCTTTTGGAGACTAGCTACCAGACTTTCCTGTTAGACCTGCAGCAGGCCTGGCTCACTTCACAGCTACTTTGAGCTGTGCCCTCCTGAGTCCCATTTTATGCTGGCGTCATAGTGCATGCTCGTCAGGCACTGTGGTTTGGGTCCCACCATTTACACATGCTCTGTTACACCAGCCAACACCAGGTAACATGGGTAGGAGCATGAGAAAGTGGTTTCCTCAGTCCTGGCTGAATAGCTGAGGTTGTGAATGTACACCACCCTTGGTCCCATAGCTTGGATAGACCCCTGCAGGCAGATACTTAGCTTGTGACACTGCCAACTGCCCACCTCCAGGGGCAGCAGCCAGTTAGATGGTTGCTAGTGTGGTCTCTTTTCTCTTCAGGAATCCTGCTGTCACTCGAACCTCTGGGGTTGACTAGGGGCTGTCTTTCCCCACACTGGCCTCCCTCTTTCTTTACTGGGACAGCGTAGATTTATTCCTGGAGCTAGATGCCCTGTCAGAGGTGATAGTGCCCAGGTTTCATTTCCAAATCTTATATTTTCTTGGTAACTAGATCAACTGTTAGACCATGGATAGTGCTATATGGCTACAATGGAAAACCCATGCAGAAGCTTTACGCCAGAGGTGCTCTCACTAGTTTATCCTGGACTGTAGACAGGGAGAGCTTCATTGGCATGAGACCTGTGCATTTGCACAGAGCCCCATGCTTAGAAGATCCTCGTACCTGGTGTAATGCTTTGCTGTTGCTGTTGTGAAATTCTTATTAATTTTTGAACAGGGGCTCCTCATTTTCATTTTGTACTGAGTCCTACACATTTTATAGCTTGTTCAGAATACAACAATGGCAACCATTTAGTTATTTTTCTTATTCTTACTAATGCACAATTAGCTACTTGATGTAGTCCTGAAAATAGATCTAAATCAAAGCCTGCCCTGGAAGGGGAGAGCCTACAGCCGAGTCCCACCAGAGCACAGTTATTGCCCCAGAGCATCAAGGAGGGTGATACAGGCTAGCAGGCTTTGCCTCCAGAGCTGTGTGGTTGGTGGGTGGGAAGGACACAGGGAAAGTCTGGCTGTTGTATGTTATTTATTATTTCTAATACGGAATTCAAGGCTTTTTCCCCCTCTCAATAAAAAGCCAGTTGCCCTGCACTTATATCTTTTCTATGTTTTCTTCATGTTTACCTGCACATCCACAGCCTTTAGCACTGGCCAAGCAGGTGCCAGCCCACTAGCAGAACTAATGGTGCTGACAGAAATTCCGTCTCAACAGCGCAGTCCCCAAATGCCCTACTGCCCAGGTCAATTCCCAAGGAATACTATGAGAATAAAACTCGCATTCCCAGTCATCAGGGGTCTCCCACCTATTTCCTCTTCCCAGCTTCCTTAATAGTGTCTTCCATATCAATGAGGTCCAGTAAATGTGTTTTTATTTATATTGTGTATAGTAGTATATAATTTAAGACTTCGGGTGACTATAACAAAATCAATTTATGCTCAAAAGTACCAAGACAAAGTTCATTCTTCTCATATATTGTTTATTTGCTTTCTTACACTTGTATTTTGGCTAGTCTGGTAGACAACTTCAACTTCTTGATGAAATCTGAATTTTCATAAAGAAGTTTTGTGTCAGATAATACACAGCCAGGTATGAACAGGGAAAAAGATCTTTATTCATCACCTTTTATGATTAAATAATAATAAATACAATTATTTAAATTTAATGTTGATTCACAATTTTTCAAATACCTCTGCATGTTTATATTTAATCGAAGTATCCCTTCTAGAACTCTTAAAGTCATTTTTTCATGAGTTCATGATCACACATGACAAATTTTAAAATTCAGAAACGTCTGTCACTTTTGTTGTTGATGTTTTTTAAAACCCTGTTCTAGGTCTACTAGAATTTTTTTTCTTGCTTAAGATACAAATGGTGGTGCTTAAAATGACAGCAACAACGACCACAGAGCCCACTACTGACAGCACCACGGTAGAAATGCTGACTCCGGAATTCGGGCGACTGTCATCAGGATGCAGAGGATCTTCATCTGCCTGCGGAACAAACAAAGGTACTTGTGCAATGTTGGATACTTTTGATGTCAGATTGCTTTTATCCACACTCTGAATGGCAATGAATATGTGCGTTGCATTTTCTTCTGAGATGTTTCCTGGTTTGAATGCAAAGGTTTCCTTGGAGTTGGCCTCGTTTGGTAACAGATCAGTAGTATTTACTTGCAGAGCATCATCAAAATTGTCTCTTAGATCCAGGATGCTTCCACTTGTTCTTATGATATACTGTTGAACTAAGAAAAAAATTACATGTAGTTTAGAAACTAGAGTATACCATGTTAAATTTTTTAATTAATTTTCCTCAAAAATGTTGTTTAGTTATGCCAAGCTCATACTCGTATCCAGAGCCATATTTATCTTTCCATAAAAGCTGAATTCTGATTTTTAAACTCAACCAAATGCTACCTTCTTTGTATGAAAAGTGGTAGCAGGTTAAAATGTATCACATTTGATGTTTCAAAACATAAGGTTGTAAAATTAATACTTTGCTGAGCTATCAATCATAAATTATTTTCCTCTCACACACCCTTACACTCTTGCTTTTGAACAAGTTTCTCTTAATCAACATTGCATAACATTTCGTCCTTACCTTTTCCAACATCAAAATTATCTCCTGGTGCTGTCCACGTTAGCCTGATCTCATCCTCATCTGATGTGGCTTCAAGGTCTGTGATTTGACTTGGTGGGTACAGGTCAGGTAAGGAACCAGCTGGAACATTTGAAACCACAAACGCACCTCCTGTTGCTGTTCTGGTGAAACTCTCCAAGTTTGTCTGAATGTCTTCATCAGTTTCAGGTCTTGGTGGATTCCCTTCAATGTTTCCTGCATTAAAAATTCTTGGTATTAAATGGGCAAATCTATACTAGTATTTTCAGAACTCAGTGAATTGTATTTCCTATCCCACATCTTTCCCCTTTTGTTCTATATACACAGTCATATTTTACTAATTTTGGTGACAAGGTCATAAGCGTGCAATTGATGGAAGAATTTTTTCTTTAGCATCCTGACCAGGGAGGGTGTTGTAGGGTAGAACTGGATGATGATCGCTTTGGAAATAAGGCTGCACTGAATGGGAATATTGGTATATAATTCAATATGTGCTTTAAAAATCAAGGGATTGCTTTATTTCTCAAATTATGTCCAAGCTGAGAATAAATCTGGGGAAATTGCTGACGGTTCTCTTCCAACCACTTCTTCCCTGCTGCGAGTGCTAAGGAATAATATTTCAGGTTATTTTCCAATTGCCAACAGAAAGCCCCTAAAAGTCGCAAGATAAAGGACAAGACAAAGGAAAGCTAACAAAGAAAGCTTGTTTAATCCTTACCATCACCTTCCACTGCACATTTTTTTCTTTTGACTCAATAAAAACTTTCCAAATAAATGTTTACTTCTGTATGTATCTTTTGCAGCATATGTAATCTGAAGGATAAATTCTACCACTAGCTTATACTTAGGTATATAACATTAGCCTGCTTCCTTCATCCTGAGCCGAAAATGTGGCATATTATTGTTGCTATAGGGAAGATGCTCTGAACTAATATAATAATGCCTGACATTTATTGAGCACTTACTAGATGCCAAACGCTGTACCAAAGCTTAGGCTGACTGGGAGGCAAACTGTAGCTTGAGAACTTCATTCCAGAAATGGGGCTATCCTTTGAGTTTTAAAGTATTTGAAGCCTTCATTGTATCAATTCGCAATTGCTCAAGCCAGCACTGGGTTTCAGATATTATGAGTTACTCACCGTTCACTACCCAGCCTGGTATATACGCAGCTCTGTTCGGCGGATGCCTTAAGTTTCGTGTGACAGCACTGTCTCCTCCATGAGCCCGTACTTTTAAACTGTATCTGCCGTTATCTGAATAGGCTGTAAAGTATCTTGAGTATACGCCATCATCCTTGAAAGCATCAGCACCTTGTTATAGAAGTGAAGGAATAAGTTACTACTGTAAAGAAAATGAGAAATTTAAGCATTTTCTAAGCCAAGCATGTGGGCTTTGTAAGCATATCCCCTTGATTGGGCCCCCTGTTTTGTGATTGACCCCTTGGGGAATATTTCCATTATGCTCTGCCATCCAATATCTTATTGAATTGATTCCCTTGAGTTATTTTATGTATGTATGTACAAAATAATATATATGATTTTTTCTAAACTGAGTTTTTTAAAATCAAAGTAGAGTTGATTTACAATATTATATCAGTGTCAGGTGTACTGATATTTCACACATCCTCACATACCAATGGCTGTGTATGTGTGATAAATACCTTCATCTTATCGACTTACATGCAGGTATTATAGTACTCTTTCCATTTCTCTGCCAAATGGTTTGCTTACAGCTCTTACTTTAAACATAATTACATCATCTCTCTACTCAAATGAAAAGGATCTCCACTGAAGAGAAAGTGTCTTGCATAGGATTTAATTCTCACTACAGTCACTTACAAATTATTTATTTTGACTTATCTTCAACCGCTCCTTTTTATATTTAATCCTCACCTCTTACTCTGTGATTCATTAAATTTTTGGTTTGACAGTGGAAAACCCCATCCATTGTTAGAATAAACATTTGGGAGAGCTCAAGAATACTGTATCATAAGGACACTTCTTCAGATCACCAGTACTAGAGTCATTTGTTAGATTGCAAACCCATTTCTCGGGGGGATTAATACTCCAAGGGGTATGTTCCTGCAGTGAGGTCCTTGAGCCAACAGCACCTGCATCTTGTTGGATCATATTAGGAACGTCTATCTCTTAGACCCCCTAGAGTAGGCCCAGCATTCAGCATTATAAACAGCCCTCCAGGTCGTTCCCTTGCACGCTAAAGTTTGAGAATGCCTGCTCCAAGTCATTGTCAAACACCAATACTTTCTTTAGTAAAGGCATTCCAAATTAGCTAAGTAGTCATCAGGTTTCATTTGAGAGATTTCATTTCACCTTGAGAAATGAAACAAGATGCAGGAGTTCTGATGTAGCATCAGTGCGTGAGGGAAAAGCAAAGGGTCACAGGATAGTTTAGGAAAACATTGTCACATCAGATGATGGTACTGAGGTGAACCAAAGAACAATTGTGCCTTCTAAATTTTTCACAGGGCCAGCTATAGTTGATGGTAGGATTATAAGCTGACTGATTTAATTACATTGAAAACAAGCTGACAGAAAATTCTGACAACTCTGAAGATTGTTGATATGGTCATTTCCTTGCTCAGTGATCTCTCAAAGGCAGGTTTAGTTCCCAGAACAATCCAGAGTCTGGGAAAAGGTCTTTAAGTACCATTCACTCACACAGACCAAGGAGAGAGAGCATGACCAACGCTGTATGTCTTGTTTCCTTCCAGTCAGATGTGGTATCTGATGATGCCCCACTGACATCCCCTCCTCTCTTACGGCAGGTCTGCCTGCCCTTGGGCCTCAGTTCCCAAGACTATCTGTGCACTTTTTTCCCCAGCTGTTGGGAATTACTCCTGCCTGTCACCTCTCCCCTGCCAGGGGCCCAAACTGTACCGCTTAATCCCATATTGTTGCTGTTTCGCTCTCTCTGGCCAGACTTTTTTGATGATGTGCCCCTAAGAAACACTTGTTCAGAATTCCCGATGCTGCACTCAATCTCCTGAACAAGACTTTCCTATCTAGTGATAGACATTGGTGGTCTAGATGACAAGCAGTAATCACAGTTAATAACATTTATTGAGTCCTTACAATGTGCAAGATACTTGCAAATCACTTTTTAAGTTTCACCTGGAATTTGCACCAATTCTGGTGCCTGTCCCTCTGACCCACACTGCCACAGGGACCCATAGCATATCCTGAGTTATGGAAATAGAAGCTTATGCAGAAAAACCTGTGAATTACCTGCACCGTTATCCAAAAGTTCCAAAACTTCTGTTTTCCCACTCTGTGATTCAATGACAGCAGTCACGTTGGCTCCAAGAATGGGTAAATACCCTTGTAGAATTTCTGCATAAACAATCATTGGGCTGGGGAAGCTGTTGGTGTCTTTATTCATTTTAGCATTCATTGTGATCGGAGGCACGGAAGGATTTGCTGCCCGAGAATTTACTGTTACAGTTAATATTTCTGTGTCTACTTTTGGTTGAAGACTGTAAGTCCAAACACCCACCTAAAAATTTAATGGAAATGTATTAAGTATCCAAGATCAAAGTCTTTTCTGGATATCCACTTTCTGACTCTAAAATACATTTTGTAAGTTTGTTGCAGGATAAACAGGGTTTTGAGAGTTTTGAGGTTTTTGAGGGAAAAAGGATGAGAGCTGAGGCAGTTTGGACAGAACATCCTGACTATTGTCATACCTGGTAATCTCAGTTGGGAAAAATAAATCTTGGAAAGTTGGCCTTGGCCTTGGCCTTATGTGTTGATCTCAAAGTCCACAGATTCTGTGATCTGGTAGTACTAAGAAATGACTGTGTAGTTGTCTACACAGCAAGCTGCACAGACTCTTACCACATTGCCTCCTTGAAGTTATTCTGAGCCTACCTAATTTTTCCCCTTCTCTTCCTTTCTCCTAATGCGTAAGTTCTCTCTTTTTTTTCTATCACCAAAATTTTCAGGACCATATATGCATAGAAAGTACATTCTATCTTATCTTAATTTTGAAATGATACAAGTATTGGCACCTATATTTATGATATTAAACAATGTGTTTTCACCTATGAAACAAATTTGCAAGGACATCTAAAAGCTGATTGTTCACCTTTGCATTTCCTGGAATATTGAGGTAGGCCATTTTGGAATCTGTGTCCACTGTGAAATTTTCCATCGGTGTTCCATTGGGATCCCAGAGGGAAATAGTGGGAGATTGTTGGTTCCATGTGATGAGAAAGAATGTGTCCTTTCCCACAGTGCTGTCAATTACCACAGTGCCATTCATCCAAGCATTACTGCTGAGTTTTAATCCCTTACTTTCAAGCTGTTAAAATATATTAAAAAATTAATGAATGGAGAAGAGAGCAATTTTATTCTGTTTACTTTTTACCATGGTTTTTAATTTCTTCCCTGAAAACAAACTTAAATATGGCATACTCCTATAGTCTTGTGAGTGCTCTGAATGCTGATTGGGACGTGACAGTTGTCAGTCAGAACAGTTGTCACTGACAGTCACTGACAGTTGTCAGTGTGGAAATATAAGGACTGAGGACAGGACAGGGATAATAAAAACATTAGAGCAGGAGAATGGGTTTCACAGTTGGAGATATGGCCCTATTATTATTTTCCCATTTGTCTTGGCGAATCCCCACCCTAGGATTCGGCATTAGAGGATGAAACTGCCTCTGAGGAGGTTAGCTATAAGATGTGTGTGTGTGTGTGTGTGTGTGTGTGTGTGTGTGTGTGTGGTGCCCTCAGCTTATCATTTTCATGATGACCTAAAAGAAAACACTTAGTGACGGTGGCTAGAGGATTTGAGTAGAGACATAGTAAGGGTGGAATTCAAGAGAGAACATCGGGACTAGCAAATGAGACAAGCACTTAGGGATATCTTTCCTGATGTGAAATCTTGAAATAATTTTTCACACATTATAGAGCATGTAGCACCGGACAGTAATCATGTCCAACAAGAGTGGAAAGAGGGTAAACTGACGTCTATGAAGGTTGGAATCCTGAGAAGAGAAGTGAAAGATAGGACCTTTCTGAGAGGAGTTTAAAGGAAAGTTTTTCAAGTCTTTGTGGACAGCTCTTAGCAAGGAGAGCCAGCTTTATTGACCGACCAAGAAAGTGTTTTCTCCAGATGTGTCATTTCCAGAATGATGGGGAATCCCACTTCTATTCCAACCCAGTCTTAAACCAAAGATACCTTTACACCAATGCTGATAGAAGAGCATAAATTGTACCACTGAAACATGATGGCAATGACAAATATCTTAGTCTATGTTAAATGGACATATCTTTGAGTAAACAAAATATTATTATTGACTGAAATTTGAGTGTAAATGACTCCTTAAACCTCCCCATCAGGAAAGTGTAGCAAAGCTAGAAGGCTTTGTCTACATAGCAGTACCATGGGAAAATAGCTAAATAAAGAGTGAGATGCAACCTTTTCTCTATCTTCCGGCTCCACCAGCCAAATCCAAGTTCCCCTCCACTCAGATTGTTACCGCATACCTCTCTCTACCTTGTCACTCTTCTCACCCAAGACATACTCATCATGTCCATCAGTCCAGATTACCCTTTGAAAACTTTGCTTTCTTTTTGTTATTTCTCTATTTAAGAAACTGCCAGCATTTTAAATGATGGGAACAAAACTTTATTCCTCCTTCTTTTGCACTGTTTATAAAGTCCATTCTCAAAACTTTGAGCACCTCCTGCGTGCGAATGTCTCATCTACAGCTGATTTCCCACTCTCTGCTCTTCTATTTTAAAAGTTCTTTTGGTATATTCCACTTTAGTATATCACCATCCACTCAAAGTTACCACAGGTAAAACAAAGACAAAATAAAATCCTCAGAATCACATCTCTCACCTGACTTGTCAATTTTAGACAATTGTATCATCAGTCTCTCAGCCAACCAGGTTGAAACCCTCAGAAATGAGCTTTATCTTCCTTTAGTTTATTCTCTGTACGCTGCCAAGCTAAACCTCAGACCAATTTTTAATTTGATTACAGGTTGAACTACGGACAAGATCTCCAAACCAATCTGCAATATTATTCTAACCTTGCATCCTGTAACTTCTGTCCTCCTCGCTGTTAGAGAGTAGATGCAAATAGGTTTGTTTAGATGAATACGGCAAGTTTTAACATAGGCAGTGATGTGAACTGGGAGATGGAAGACAGATGACTTGGCAAAAAGTGACATGATATAGACTTAAGTTGGAATGGATGTGGAGAGAAACAGAATTTTGTAAAATATATCTTGAAGGAGGCATACTGTGTTGACATTTTGCATGGGGCATAAAGAAGAATCAGTTTACTCGAAGTTTTTGAATACATAAATAACAGAAAATGCTTGTGTTATTGGAACACAGAAGAGAAAGGGAATTGAGGTGAACAAAGAGAAGAGGGGTGAATAAAATAAAAAGCCAGTGAAGACGTGATTGAAGAGGTAAGACAAACCGTAGGCTTGTCGATATGCACTGATTATTCACTCTCTTTCTCCTGACAAATATTTCCAGGATATAATTCTTCCATTTCCAAACCAGGTTCTTGAATTCACTTATCTAATTTAAATCTATTTTGTAGCAGGAGAGGGAAATCTTGGAAGCATGAGATTTTTTTTAATGCATTCATAGAAGAATGGATGCTGGATTATTGAACAAAGTCTATTTTTGGTGGAAAATTTAACAATATTAGGTTTTGATGTTATTCTTTAACCAAACCCTATGGAAAAAGAAAAAAAATACATCTGCTATTTCACTGCTTATTTCACAATTTTGCTATTTAATTTGGTCATATCTAAAGGATAATTTCTATTTCAGATTTTTTATTTTAATTAAAATTTTATTTGAGAAAGATATGTAACTCAAAACTTACAACAACCAGATTATTATTATTTTTTTGCTATTGCTAAACGCAAACACAAAAACCCGAGGACTGGGAACTCTGACCTGAAGGGACTGCTGGGAAGCACCAGTGTTTCCTGATGCAAGGGCAGCAAAAGAATCGATGAGGCCATTGTTCTCGGCTACATCCGAAGGATAAAAGACGTGTCCCCCTAAAATGTAAATATATTAACTAGGCTGCTTTTCAGAAAATGAGTGTTTTTCACATTTTAGTGATTAATAAGGTAACAGGATAAACAAAATCATAGTTTCAATATGTATTATCAAAATAGACCAAAATCAGATAGATGTGAAGATTAACTCAGAAGTGTTAACTTTAAAATGTCACACCTGGAAAGTGTAAGCTACTTTTAAAACTCATGTATAGAAATCATCCTGGCTGAAATGCATGAAATAATCAGAGAAGATGTTACAGTTTCAGGTACTAAAGCTCACAAACTTCACATAACCCTTTAGGGGAATCATTCACTTTCATTTAAAATACATTTCTAACAGTGTCAGCTTTTCCAGCAAAAGTGGATCAGAATCAGAAAAGCAGAAAGGTTAAAGAGCTTTTATATTGAGGCATCCTGACAACAGCTGGCAATGAGGAGACCGAAGAATGGTAAGCCACAGAAATAAGTCCAAAAAAGGACTACTCTGGGGGGAATGCTTGGGACAAAAATATTTCACAGTGGCAGTGAAAGTACTTTGAAATGATGGGAGTTTGTACAATTAAGCATTAAAAAGCAAGTGTATATTTGGTAACACTGGAGGTCAAGTCACAACAATAACTGATATTCATAATGTTATAAATTATGTATTCTCTACTATGTTTAAGAAAGCACTGAAAACATGTAGTCCATTTTCATCATGTCTCTGTCTAAGATAATAGCTATTGTGTATTTAATCTAGAAACCTTGTTGTTATTATATTTACTCAGCCTGAGCTTCTGTTAATCTCCTATCCTTTAATTCACAACCCGGGCTCTCTGGTCTCATGGATTTCCTACTATCCCTCAGCATTCTGTGCATTGTCATCTCAATGTGATTTTTTTTTTTTTACTCATAACCTGATCATCTTCTCTCACTCCTCTTTCCTCTAGAAAAAGTCAACATTTTGTTCAAGGTAAAGCTCAAAAGTCACCTCATCTCTCAAGCCTTCTTTCCCTGACTCTGTACAACCCTGGAAGAATTAATGCCTTCCTCTGCTCACATAGTGCTTGCCTCCTACGTATGTCTCCTATCTGATTATGCTGTCTGATTAGTAGTTTCATTTGTTTCTCCAGCCAGGTGGACTGGGAGTGCCTTGAGATTCGGTCTGGTTTAACTCTGGTCCCAAGTTCCTGGCACAGCATCTGCAGAGCAAGACCTCAAGAGAAATTGTTGTTGTCAGCCTGTACACTTACGCATTGCTACCAGTGGCATAGAATAAGTCATGTTTTACCTGTTACGATGCTCATCTCTTTGACTGCTTTATCAGCATTTTCTCCCAGAGCAATAAAATGAATGATGGCCCCACTATTTGTCACCTCTTCAACACAAGTCTTTGCAGAGCTATCTTCCCCATCGGTCAGCAGGACGATTTCAGATCCATCTATTTGGGAGTAAAGGCTTCTAATTACCTACAAATATAATTAGAGCATTATTACAGGTGTTCCTAGATCAGACAGACTTATGAAAGATTAGGAAAAAATGGACATAGAAAATAAAATGTGCAGAAAAGAAGAGACGGCTTTTTTAAAATTATAGAATCATAGAATCTGCAGTCAATCACCACCAAGGGAACTTAAACATGGCTTTTTATTTTCTGTTTGCTTACTGTAAGGAATGTCTGCTCAGATGAATTTTTGGGGGAGCAGGGCTGTGGAAAATCCTATTTGAGTTAAATGACAATGACATCTCAGTCTGGGGAACTCAGGGCACTAAAATATAATGGCAGAACGTGGCATCAAATATTTTTCTTTCTTTGACCAGAGTGCCCCTTGACAAGCCTTCAGTATATAAAGTCTGTTGCATATACAGCTAGATGCATTGAGTGCACTTCAAAAATAAAATAAAATAAAATAAAACAACCCCCCCTTGAAAACCCTTAACTCCAAATAGCATTGAACCAAAGAACATAAAAAAACACAGGTTGTTATTAAAATACTTTTTACCTTGGCTCACAGCGAAAAAGAATGTGACAGTGAATGTATGTATGTTCAAGTATAACTGAAAAATTGTGCTCTACACTGGAATTTGACACAACATTGTAAAATGACTATAACTCAATAAAAAAAATAAAAACACCAAAACAAACAACAATAAAAAATACTTTTTACTTTAATAGTGGATATCAACCCTCAAATTGCCAATAAACGTGATTACCTAAAAATTGAATATCCAACAAAAAAAGAGTCCACTTCAATATTTTTTTTTAAGTTAATGATTCTAAATTAGGGAGTCCTCAGTATGCCTTTAAAGAAAAGATATGGACAGTTCTAAGCAGGTCAAGGTTAGGGATCTTAGTCATATAACTTTTGTTTTACCTCTAATAGATAGAACCAGAAAGCTAAGCATATTGATGGTGTTCAAAGAATACATGACATTTGTATTGAGCTCCTTTCCTTTCTGCCTGAACCAATGTTTCCTTCTCATCCTTCAAATCTTAGCTTAAACGTCACCCTTCAGAGAGCGCCTCAGTGGCCTCTCTGCCTAAAGTTGGGACTGCCACTGTTTTCCCGGTCACTTTATCACACCACTCTGTTGAGTTCCTTTACAACACATTCTCCACAATCTTCAATTATTGCTTTATAAAATTAATTGATTGGTTGATTTTTGATTGATATTATTTGTTCCCCACTGAATTAGCAAGCAAGCTTTGCTTGACCCATAAATAACTTTATGTTGAATAAATTCAAATACACCATTCTTGCTCCCTGCTCCCTACTATGTTGAATAAATTAAACATGAACAACAATACATGCTAGCTTTCACCACCCCATTATACCAATAAAGTAATTAAAGATTAGGGAAGTGATGCTTAGGGTCAGAAAGCTAGTAAGTGATAACTGGGGTTTGAACCCAGGACCTCATGTTAGAAAGCTAAATGCCATGCAACGCATAAAGAGGGAGATTCAGTAGGTTTGGGAGTAGCAGGAAAATTTACATGAAGGAACAAGGACTTAATAGTATTGGTTGAATTTTAACATGCAAAGATGGAAAAGAAGGAAGCATTTTAGGCAGAGGAATCGCACGGCAAATGTATGGAGGCTGTTAGTACACAGTGTGCTTGGAGAACAATGTGTGCAGTAAATTGGTTGGAGCATAGAGCGTTGAGAGTGGAGAACTGAGAAAAAAGGCTGGCAAGAGAGGTGAGGGCAAGTTTATCAGAGGATGAGAAGCTTTTAAATAACATCAGACTGAAGAATTAGGACTTGATTTTATAAACCATTAGGAGAAAGGATTTCCAAGCAGGAAAATAACATAATTAATATTAATTAATCATGGGCTCAAGATGACCATTTGGATAAAAACAAGGCTCACAGTAATAGTTATTATGAATTATATATTTACTATAGAATATAATGCATATTGTTTTAAGTATGAACACGAATCATTTCACTTAAGTCTCATAATAATCCTATGAAATGGGCATTCTTATTTTCCTATACTTTATAGTTAAGGCATTGAGAGTCCAAAGAGATGGAAAACTTTTCTTAGATCACATAGCTAGTGAGTAGTAGAGCCAGTGCTCTGATGTCAAAACGCATGTTCCGACCAGTACTCCTTACCGTGAGTGTAACTAACAGTTACTGCTACCTCTGCTTTGACAGATAAACAATTTCCCTAACTGAATGTCACAGAAACTAAAACAAGGGTTGGCTTAAAGTGGAATCATACCATATAACTTGCTTCCTTGCCTTAAAATTTGGTGACTTTTGCTGCCTAAGCACTGTTACTTATTTAACTAACATTTACTGAGCACTGATTACTGCATGGTAACAAGACACCGTCTCTAACCTTGTTTGGCTTCTATTCTAGTGGAATTTTAATAGTTATTTACTCACCCGTTAATTTATTCACTTTTCACTGATCCAATCAAAATTGGCAAGTGACTTTTTTTCTATATGCTTAGATCTCTGCTTCTTAGAATTAGTTACGTTAAAATTAGGGAGCAAGTATGTGCAGCCAGTGCTTACAAAAATGTCCTAATAATAAACAAACAGACTATACTTGAAGTACGATTTTCACCTGAAATCCTGTTCTAATTCCAGAGCAGATGGAGGTTCCTCCACTAGCACGTGTAGGTAAACTCTCCAAGAGCTTGTTTCTTTCGCTGCTGCTGCTTATTTGGATTAGATTGCTTATGATGCTTGCAGAACTATCAAAGTGCACCATCCCCACCCAGGATCCGTTTTCAACGATCTGCAGCAGGAAAAGTTTGGCTGCTTGATTCATTCGGTTTAGGCGGTCATAACCCTGAATAAAAAAGGGTAAGAAAAGCAAACAAGTAGTTTTTCATTGGGAAACAATAGCAGATCACATAAGATGAGTGAACGAAATTTCTAGTTAAAGATTTTCTATCAATAGTAATGGTATTATTAAAGAAAGCATTTTTTTCAATTGATAAAATTTAAAAATATAGTTTTGTTTACTATGGGACTCACATGTTTAATATAGTAAGGAACAGAAGGTTTTAACTGGAGCAGATTCTTGGCTTCTAGGCACCCGAATTAGAGCTGTAGGTAGGATGGGGGTTGGATTGGCACTGAGGAATGATGACTCACACCTTAGAGACTGCCTAATTACCCTTGGGATCCTCTGTTCCAGTTGTATCAAGATGAAACTACTCTCCAGGTCCCACAGTATCAAGCCAGATTATCATGGACTCTACCTAGGGACTGAAATCTCCCCATCCTCTGGCCACTACACGACCCAAAGATGAAACTTACTCTAAATGCTGAGAGACTCCATTCCTACCTTACCTATTTCCTCTTCTGATCTCCCTCCGTATTTCCACTAATGGATTAATTGGAATTGGTTCTTTGGTAACCCATTAATACTCATGTCCCTATTTCCTAGGATGTGCACTTCTTCATACATTTGTCTTTTATTAGGCCCTCAATACCAGCTGATCTGTAGTACCTCTTCCCAACACATGCCCAAATTTTCCTCTGAACTCCCTAAAACCAAATCACAGTGAGGAACTTCTGCACCCCCATCTTTGAGGGTTCTCCCTACTGCTTTGCTTTCCCTTTAAACTTGGCTCTGTCTAGGGGAAGCTGCTTGTCTTCTCTCAGTCAGTCAAGAACCTCATCTCTCCCCAGCAACACTTCCTAGAACACTTTCATGTGCTGGTGTCCAGCACACTGATGCTCTTTCTGAAACCCTGTCTATTACGAATTATTTCATTCAGCTGTACCATCCTCTGCCCTTTCCACTAACCATCCAACCCCCATTTGTTGAAGACATTATTCCTGATCTTCAGCATGCTCTGTTCTCCCTCAAATATGCCATCCTTCTGGGTACCTTAATCATGTTACATCTGCTCATTTGTTGTCAATTCTTTTCAACAATTATTTATTGAGTGCCTACATGTGATAAACCCTATTCTAGGCAAAAGGTATACAAATATGAATGACTGCTTCAAGTCCTAGGTGACCCAGTTCCTAGGGAAAATGGCTCCAAGTCCTAGAGGAGGTTCCACTATAGTAGAAAAGAAATGTGTAATTTCAATATAATATATAGATAATAATAGAAGTTTGCACAAGTCATTGTGGGAGATCTGCAGAAGGGCTATTAGCCTCGTCTGGAAGACCAAACCATGTCGTGGAGGAAGTGAGTGCCTACACAAAATTTTGAAAGATGATTGTAAGTTAATTCATGATGGGGAAAAGAGAGAAAATTTTCTCTGTTCAGCTATGAACTATATGGATCTCTATTCCTAAAGCCTGGTACAATGCCCTCCATTCACTTAATGAGGGTAGAAGGAATGAGTAGCTGAATCTGGCCATATCTTCTTTATGGTGATGCTGTTTCTCTATGTCTTTGAGCATAAAGAGGTAATTCATACACATGATGCACATAAGATAAAGTCATGTTAAGAATTCTCCTGGTTAGTCTTGTTCCTTAATTTGGGATGGAGTTCAGAAGCCTCCCAATCTGTTCTGTCCCCATGCCCGTCAGGCATTCCCAGTACATAAAGGGAGCAAGGTCAGGAAACATCTCCGTATTTCAATCTCTAGTTCTGCCCTTCTAGCAAAAGCTTTACTAAGGGGCCTAAAAGTCCTCCTCAATAAACTGTCCATTTTCTGGAAAAAAAAATAGAGATTTTTGTACTAGGTCCTTCTAACTCTATTGCCATCCTTCTTTCATTATAATATTCATTGCCCCTTTGAGATCAAGGTCACAGAAAGTGATGGCATAAGTACCATGCAACTTAGAAGAACCCAGGTGTGGGTAGCAGTCAGTGTTCTTAGACAGTCAGTGCTCTGTCCCTACAGCCAGGAAAAATGGACCCCTGAACTTACTCCCATGCTCCCAGACTTATCAAGAACCAAGCACACAATTCTTTCCTGGATCTTCAGCAGCGAGAAGACAGGTGGAGGAGGTTGTGTCACCATGGCCGTTGTGTTTTTAAAATCCTCAGAATTGCTGATCACCTCCCACGTGCTTCTGGAATCGCACCTTTTGTTTTGTAGGCTTGGAGCTTCTCGGTTATGGTTTTTTTCATTACAGAATTCAACGACCTAAATGTTAATAAAAATAATATTTATATACGATGCATTTGAAAACTCAACTACAAATCTGAAAAAAATTAAAAATCTGTTCTCCAAGTGTGTTGTTTATTGAATGAAATATGATTCACTGAGGAAACCTATAATAGTAAAATGATTTTTCATTAATAGTAATAATGGTTAACACTAGTTAAGTGCTTTACTGTGTGCGAGTCAATATTCAAAGAACTCTTTATTAATGTATCTAATCCCTCAGGTCACCTGCACGGATATTTTATAAACATGGTAACATGTCCTTTGATTATAAATATCCAGTCTGAAGTAATGGTTGGCATACTTACAGAATCAATACTTTGCATAAACATTATGGATGCCTTTTCAGTTTGATATTTATCAGGAAAGAACTGACAATCTTTTTCATACAGTTTTGTCTTAGAATTAGTTTTGCATCTACTAGTTATACAGCTGTCTCCTTGGCACTTATGAACTCTGTTGATACCAGTAATACCTGTGGAACACCTGAAAATAAATGACAGTTAGTCTTTAAGGCAACCTAATCATTAACAGTTTTTGAAAATCATAAGTGGTCTCTATATCAAGGTTTTTAATAATGATCCTTATCAAGATTTTTATTCTTATTTGTATACCATACACATCCTATTTTGAGAGCTAAGTTTAAGGGTTCTATCAGAGAGCTTATCTGTTTTTCAAGAAATTTCAGAGGGAAATTTTAAGTGGACTACCCAGTATATGCAGTGGCTGAGTTCTCTGTGGGAATTAAAGCCCCAGCTGTCCTTATGCTAATGGATCCGTAGGCTCCCCTTTCCCACACGTCTCTCCTAGTAGGTAAGTGCACTGCAGGCACCTGCACAAGGCAACCTGTGAAATCACTTACTCTAGGTACCACTCTACCTAAGGCTCTTTGTATATTTCTTATTCAAAGAAGATATCCTCAAAGAATAAAGTGTTGCATAGCTACAGGTTTTTTGATTATTCAATGAGCAGTTTTATCCAAAGTGAAATGTGGCTTGAAGGAAAGACTGGGGTACTGCCTAGGGTGGTAAAGAATGGTGGAGGGATTTCAGGCTTGTGTTTTATTTCATGGAACTGGCCACAAGTGGCAGTGATTACAGTAAATATGCTGGAATGTGACTGTATCTCATGTTTTCAATGTGCATCCAGTTCAAATTCAAAAAGCAATGACTAGATTTCATTCAGTAATTTATGGAGTCTCCTAAATATATGCATGCCTTTATTGCCTCAAAACTCAGCGAATGTAATGATGTTATCTGTATTAACAATCATGATGAATATTCTTTGGCAGAGACTTAGACATTCAGGTGAATGCGATGTAAACAAATGTAACCAACGCAATAGTCTTTAAAATAAGCATCCTGCAAGTTGGCGCAGTGGTTCTGAGGAAATTCAGATTTTACTGAAATTTGTTTTTTTGATAATCCCTAACCCCAGCCGGGCATCTAAGATTGATTAAGCTGATGGCATCCAGTTTTAGATTGATTCCCCCAAACTTTCTGTTCTCTTGATCTCAGAACAAGGAGGATTGTCTGTTTTTAACTGTGATGTTGGATTGGTAGTTTAACATGAACTTTATAAATCCCAAGACATTTCTGTTTGGCTCTTTGAAGCTGGTTGATTTCCTACTCAGTCGGCATACACACTACTTCATAAGTATAGCTATCACTTTCTTTCTTTAGCAGCATAAATACTTTTGATCTCCTGGCACATAGTGCAACCCTCTTCACAGAGCACTAACTTCAGCACAAATGAGTTCCAGCAACTGAGGTAGAGAGGTGTAAAGATATGCTAACTTGGCTGCAAATTCTCTTGAAGTTATGTGTGTTTTAAATGATCAACCAGCTACTTTAAGATATATTTTTTTAAAAAACAGGAAGGCACCATTTGTGACATAGCATCTGTTACCCACACTGGAACAAAAACGAGTAAATGGATTTTGAAAGAAACCAGGCTAAGGAAAATAAGAAATTACTGCCTGAAGTAATTTAAGACAGTTGAAGTGGCCGTGCCTTGTTGCTTCGATTTTCTTTGACGAAGCGCTGTAGAAAGGCTCATCATCATTGTACTCATCAAACACCCCCCAGCGGAGGTGGGCCCACTCGTGGACAAACAGTCTACCTGTAGGAAAATATTTCAAACACATGATCATAATTCAAGTGGTGTAATTTGTCCCTCATGTATATTAAGATGTGGGTTTTTAAAATCCAGGACATTTAGGTTTTAAATAACTGTTAACATTCATATTTTTGTTTATAAAAAAGCATATTGTATTCCATTTCATTTTACTGTTATATAGCTTTTTTAGCATATTATTTTCTTATTCCACAACATGTTAAATCAATGAAACATTTATTATGTACATGCTATAGGTGGACAGATTGGGCTTTGATTTTTGGTTCTTGAGGGCCAAAAAGTCTCAGATATTACAGTGGTTTTTGGCTCTACAAACTCAGTCCTACCAACAACATAAACAGATATATGACGTTTGTGGTATTAAAATTTCGTGGAAGTATGATTAGTTAAAAAATATCTATATATGTTCCTTAAAGGCTTGATAATGAAGAAGAAAAGATTGAAAAACACTGCTATAGACAATATATAATTTGGAGGGTGGGTCTAAATGCAGTAATTAATTTATAGTACTTAGCACATATAAGCATTCATTAAATGGAAACAATTATTTTTAATTATATATTCAGCACAAGGTACTAGCTACTAGGAAATATAAAGATAAATAAGATATGGTCCTTGATTAGGATAAAGATAGAAAGAGGGAGTCTGAATTAAATCATTCTTTTCCCCTAAAAATTTCAGGGTGAATAGAAGAATAAAGGCAAATCCAAGCTTGAAATACGGGAAGAAGAAACAAGTGGAATTTTTATTTTAGCAGTATTAGGAAAAATTCAGAGGAAATAGAAACGGAAAAAGACAAGTTGGAAATATGCTCTGGTCTGCTACAATCTGTGTTTCTCCAACTCAAATTAACTCATGAGGCCTGAAAATAGGGAGAAAATATCAGTATCATGCAGAAGTCATGCTTCTCCTTTAAGCACTTGCCACCCAAACTGTGGTCCCTGCACCAGCCATGTCAGCATCCCTGGGCACTAATAAGAAATGCAGAATCTTAGGTCCACCCTAGACCTACTGGCTCCGAATCTGCTTATTAACAAGATCCCTAAGTTATTCCTCTACACATCAAACTTTTAAGAACACTGTTTTTAGGCTTCCTAGGCAAATGGAGCCAAATTAGTGAGCATGAATTATATATATCCTTCAGTGTGGGAGGAAGAAGCTCCCACATCAGCCACTGTGAGAGGAATTCGGTGAATTTTAAGAAATTTAATTCGGCCTCCACCTCTGGCTCCCTTATTAGAACAGTCCACTCTCAGGCTCATTTCCTTATCAGCTCATGGCAGGTTGTCTGGCTCCCATGCTCACCTCAGTTTGCTAAAAGAATAGAATTCAGGTGCTCTGACCACACATACAAAAAGGGAACTATGTGAGGAAATGATGTGTTGATTCGCTTAACAGTAGT